TAGTGACAAGTTAATTCCCAGAGTATGTCATAAGCAGGAGAGCCAACCTTCTTCATCTTCATGAGCTGACGATTGTTGGGAAAATATTCTTGATAAGGAGTGTTCCCCAATGGCAGTCCAGATACTCGCATCATTTCGTGGAGCGGAAGCCCTAACTCCCCATACTTGGTAAGAAATGTATTAGCCTCCGGAATATAAGACTCAAATAAAGCAAGGAAATGATCTACGCTGACTGGAAGACCATGCATGTTGGCTCGGATCGGAGCATATAACCCCAAATTCCTTAACTCTTGATCCCAACGATTGAGTACATACTTGGTCATCCTAGCCCACCATTTGTCGGGAAGAGAATGAACCCATCCATAACATCTAAATTTTGGAATGGGGAGTTCTCGGCCAACCCGAGCGAGCCTATTCTTTACGGTATTGGCCCTTATCCCAGGAGCGCTGACATCATTGCCATAAATCACAATGGATATGCTCTATGTCTTCTGTTTAATTGCCACGCCATTTTTTCTCGAAACAGCGAGATTCCTTAATGCCCAGAATTGAATATAATGGAGGAAGGAATAGAAAAGAACCTTCATGTTCATTCAACCAAATTTCAGAGCCACGGCAAAGATTGTCTGGATCTTCTATCGAATCTCCGAACAGATAGTCAGGCTTCTTCAACGGTTCGGTAGAATCTCTAGTTGGATTTAAGGGCGAGTCGGTCAGCAAAGCACGCAGAGTGCGGCGACCTCCCTCGCGAATCAACTCCGGAACTTTATTATAACAATCTTCACTAAATTGGCGGGCCTCTCTAACCAGAAAGTCGCCGCGAAAGGAGGCGTGAAGAGTACCACTCTGGCCTGGGTCTTCTCTATCAGAGAAGGCCACAGAGGGAAAGGGGACTACAAAGAAAAGTTGGAAAACATTTGAACAAAAAGGCTAACAGACGAGAAAACCCGCACTAAGCAGCCGCGACAGATGTGGCCGTCGCGCGTTACCGCGGCAGCATACACTGTCGCGTTCAGGCGCGACGGCACGAGCTGCCGTGGTAACTGAGCAGCGGCCTTTGATGTTGAAAAGACACGAGTTCGACGAATACCCGTGTCTTAACTGTGGTACATGCCTTGATTGAACAAGGTATGTGTTTTGAAGCGTCAATCCCCTCGGTGGGGGATGTCAACTCTTCCCGAATGTCTCTCAACGGAGACAAACGAGGTTATATGCACAAAATCAACAGTTTCAGAGAAGAGAAGTGGAAGAAACTTACCCCCAAAGGAAGGAACTGCAGCCTCGACATCCTCAGGTGCTGGTGCCGCTGATTTTCCCTTCGAACCACGAGTCTTCTTTGGAGACATAGTGAGACCGGCCTAAAGAATCAAAAAACTAGGGTTTTTGTGAGATCCCAAACAAAAGAACGGAATCGGGCCATAAAGCATAAGATGCAGGGGCGATTTTTACCTGGGATTAGAAGAAATCAAGTTAAGAAGAGATCAAGATCAACGAGGAGTCAAAACCCTAGATCTCAAGAAAACCCTAGCACCCGAATATGAAGAGTTGAAAGGGGGGAAAAACCAAAAGATCCTTTTATAGGGTAATTGAAGAAGTTTCAAACTCAGAGAAGCGGGGAAAAGTGACCCGAAGAAGCCCAACATCAGTCTTATAACCCGACTGGCTGAGGCGCTGCGCGGCACAAGATGCTGTCGCGCTCGAGCGCGACAGTCTATGCTGCCGCGCTCTAGCGCGACAGTATAAGCTGCCGCGGCAGCTAACCCACCAAGATCCACTTCGACATACAGAAACATGGTGTATACATGATAATTCTTCGGTGTTTGAACACATACATCTCCCTCTGTATTTGGAATACATTCCCGGACACTCCGATGAGTATATGAGTATAAACTGCATCTCCCTGAACCTCCCAACGGGTATATGAGGTTAAACTATTTCCCGAAAACTCCAATATAGTATATGAGTATAAACTATTTCTTAAGTTCTTCAACAACAGTTCTGATTCAAGACTTCGACAACGGCCACGCGATAAACGCAGCACCGGAGGAATTTTAGCTATTCTACAAAGCACTGAATAAGTTAAAAGATGAAAAAGTCAAGGATTGAAACCATTCACAAACCGTTCTACGCAATTTCCTCAACGAAGCACTGGAGAGATTGTAGAAGGCGCGGCAGTCCAGGGTGCCGCGGCCAAGGCGCGACAGCCAATGGTGCCGCGGCCAAGGCGCGGCAGCCAATGGTGTCGCGGCCAAGGCGCGGTAGTCCAAGGTGCCGCGGCTAAGGCGCGGCAGCCCATGGTGTCGCGGCTATTATGAGAGGTATTGTGGCAGTTGTGAGGCAGTTATTCGATGATTTTTTGGAGTCCACGTGGCAGCATATCAGAAATAGAACGTGTGCTGACGTGGACAAGCGGTTAAACCACGAAAAAAGTGGTTAAAAGTCGTGGGAGAGCGGTTTCAAGCACGATGAAACGTGCTGGTAACCGCCTCTTTGGCCGCGGCAGCCTGTACTGCCGCGCCAATAGCCGCGGCAGTATAGACTGCAGCGGCCAAAGAGGAAACACTTGGGCAGTTGTTTCGCCTCCGTTTCAACTGTAGTACACTGAGACCCCTATAAATACCTCCCTAAACACGCAGTAAAAGGGAGAGCATTTTGGAGCAGAAGAGACTTGAGTCTTTGGTTATTTTGAGAAAGAAAGAGAGAATTTTCACCCTTTGACAAGCATCATTTGGTGAATCCTAGAGATCTAAGCTCAGACTTGATCTTTGGAAGAACGGACATCTTACATCGATAAGATATTCGTTTTCAAATCTTTACTTCGATAAACGAAGGAGAGATCTCTAAACAACCTCTCGATCTACGAATCGGTGGTCCACGAACTAAAGCGTTCCCGGCACAGGCAAAGTCCCACCAAAAAAACAGTAGTTGATAAACGACTTCTGTGTTATTTTCTCGAGAGTTGTATTTTCTTTATTTTCATTGTAATTTCTTGTAAACACATCAAAGTTTAATGGAATCTGCAATGGAAACAACTTTCGCTGAAAACAATTATAAGCTAATAACATAATTAAGTTTCCATTTACATGCACACATACATGGTATAATTTGCATAATAATTGGGCATAAAGGTTTTCTAAACAAAGTCTTTAAACTGCTACCATTATAGGCTGTCATTTATATGAGTGACAACGATTATTAATTCTTTAGCCAGTTCAACTCTCTTTGTTTGTGTTAATGGTAATGGTTTTTAGCATTAGATTGATTATGAAATCATTTTTCTAATTTCTGTTTTGGTTCAGGATGCTTGATTGTTAAACTGTAGTGATGTTGATTTCTTGAAACCTCATATGCAAATTAGATTGTTGCAATAATATGATTTGAGTTTGAAAATATGTTATTTTGGGTCTATTTTATAACAATTGGTGCAATTTGTGGACAGACTGATATTATACATTAAACATCCAGATGTTGAGAGATGTTCATGCCCAAAACTCTTCTGTTCCATGGAACTTCTATTCCCAACTATAAGATGTAACATTTATATTAGATAACAGAGAAGGCAACATGTAAACATCCAACAGAAGAAAAAAGTGATCCTGAGGACGGAGGAAAAAATTACTCTGTGATAATTACTTCTATTGGTTTTTGTTTGCATATTACCTATGATAATTACTTATACTCTGTGATAGTTACTAATTTCCTATGATACGTGCATGTTTCATGTGATATTTACATATTTCCTGTGATACTTCCTTATTATTTATGACAGTTGACTCTTTCTTGTGATATTTGTTTATCTACTGTGACAGTTACCTTATTTCACACAAACCAGAGTTAGCAGAAACCAGAGTTAGCAGAAAACGAAATAACTCATTGATATCAGGCATCCTCACTACATGAATTAAATTAAAGGAAGGTCATGGCAATAAATCAACTAGCTTTTCACATATGTTAGAGATCTAGCATAGTATCTTTGAAGAGATCCAGCATGACAAAGGAATCCCACATCCTCAGATCCCAAAAACCAACCAAAAAAAATTTAGGTTTGAGATGGAGAAAACAAGCTACAAAAGAGAAAAGCCAAAGTCAGATCAGATCTAGGTTTCGATGGAAGGGGGAGAGAGAGGAGTAAAGGGGGAGACCGAAACCGAGAGAGGAGAAAGGGAGAGAGGAGAGGTACCTACGATGGATCGAGATCGAGATCGAGATCGAGCTTTGAGATGGAGATCGAGATCCAGTCGGGCTTTGAGATGGAGATCGAGCTTTGAGATGGAGATGGAGATCGAGCTTTGAGATGGAGATCGAGATGGAGATGGAGATGGAGATCGAGATCCAGGCGTGAGAGAGGAGAAAAAGAGGAGTCGGGCGGCGTGAGAGAGGAGAAAAAGAGGAGTCGGGTTTTGAGGGGTTGGATTTCGTGGGTGAGGATTTGGCAAATACCAAGTATTGTGCCCAAATTTAAAATCCATACTTTTTGGACTTTTCAAATCCATTGTATAAAATGACTTGATTTAAAATCATAGTTCAAAGTTGAGCCCAAACATAAAATTTGGATTTGAAATACCCAGAATTTCAAATCCAAGCCCAAATCAACATTCCCAAACATAGCCTAAGTGAATAGTTTTCACTTCCAATAAAATCTTAAATGATTCTTTTTCACTTTTCTAGACAATATTTTCAATTACAATCCAAACAAAAAATTTAATGAAGTGGAGGAATTATTATTTCTCTTAATTTTAAAATATGGAAAACAACTAAAAAGGTATTTTAGTTCTTTGGTCTTCTTACTTTTAATACTTCTTTTCTTCCAAAGAGGCCCTAAGTGCAAATAGAGGAAACCATAGCATATTTAAGTGCAATTAAAAGCCTTCTTTTTCTTTTCCTTCAAGAATTTCAAAAGATACCTTAATTTATCTTTCGATTCCATCATGAACATTAGGAAACATAACCAGAAGTTTTCCACAAACTCTGCTACAATTACACGAAGAAGACAAAAGGAGAAGTAGAAAATTCAGCTCCTAGTAAAACTTCCATTAGATAAAAACCTTACCATCATAACACAAGCAAGCAGTTGCAATCTACAGCGTAAAACCCTCAAAAAGGTTTGCTACAGCAAAACAAAAACCATTATTTATTCTCATCTTCGCCCACAACAGCGAAGAGGCTCACAGTTTCGAGACAAAGAAAAACGAAGCAAACAGCCAGGGAACCAAAATTATGCAACTTATGGCACAGGGGTGCATCTGTGCTCTATATCAAGGTCTAGTATGGCTCAACGGGAGCTCTGAACTTGGCTCCAGCATACACTGCAGAAGCACCAAGCTCTTCCTCGATCCTCAGCAGCTGAATTGATGCAAGTAGATATATTTCATAAGTGACCAACTTAGAAACTAAAAACAGCGAGATTAAGCTTGAGTTAAACAAAACTTGCCTGATTGTACTTGGCGAGTCGTTCAGATCTGCATGGAGCTCCAGTCTTGATCTGGCCCTGTTTCACCAAAATAGACGATAGTAAGAAACAGCAAGCAAAAGTTGATGTTTGCTAAGCCTCCAAAAGAACCCCAAAAAGTTTGGTGTAGTTGGTGTCAACTACACCAAATTCCCCCTATGATTCAAAGGGAAACAACATTTATTCCAATTTCTATTAAGAAAGAATTGAATGTGAAAACTGTGACCAGGATGTATATGATTAATATATCATATACATTATACATGTATATGATATATGCATGTAATGGTGAGTGTATCAAAAAAGAAAACTGATAATTATCTGAAACAAGGTCAATTTGTAAACCTGTAGTTCCTACAAATGAAATTAAAGCTCCGTAATTACCCAAAGACTTTAATTTGCCAAGGAAGGAGCAAAATGACCAAAAACAATGGTAAAACACATCTAGTGTGACTTACTGTTGACAAACCAACAGAGAGATCAGCAATGAAGGTGTCTTCAGTTTCACCACTGCAATAAGGATAAACCCAGCTCAGTATTATCTGCTGAAAGTTCATATGCCAAAATCGATGTCAAAGAATAGAAGGGGTAACCATGACTCTCACCTTCTGTGGCTTGCCATCACACCCCAGCCAGCACGCTTAGACATCCGTACAGCTTCGATACTTTCAGTGACGGACCCAATTTGGTTCACCTGTCACCACCAGAATCAAAAATCAAATAAGTACAATGAAAACGGCACAACTTCTAAGATCTTACAACTAACTTGACATAATAAAATAGAAGGCAAAACGACATGCATCCATAAATTACCTTCAAAAGAAGGGCATTGCAGCTCTTCTCATTTATTGCCTTGGCAACCCTCTGCAACAGTGAGGCGGACATTTAGATAATTTTTTTGAAACAAGCTCACTTGACCAGAATTGCTCAATTGTTAGTTAACACTTACAGTGGGGTTGGTGACGAGAAGATCATCTCCAACAATCTGAACTTTTTCACCGATTTCAGCAGTCAGCTTAGCATAGGTGATCCAGTCATCCTGGTCAAAGGGGTCTTCAATAGACACAATGGGATAGTCAGAAACAAAAGACTTGTAAACGTTCCCCAAGCTGTCTCCAGAAATTTTCTGAGAACCATCATTGTTCTGCAGTGGATAAAGGTAAAGGTTAAATGAAAAAACAAGTGCCAAAACAAATAGAACTACAGAAAAACAAGACTGAACATTGAGACGAGGATTTTTCATAATGTTATTCTAAGACAAAATTATCACCGAAATGGAAAGGTAAGATTTACCTCTTCCTTGAAGTTAAGATCATATGTCTTATCCTTCTCATTGTAGAATTCCGAGGCAGCAACATCCATGCCAATGACAACCTGTTATTAACAGCCAATCACAATATATACATGCATCATTATTGAATTATCGAATTGGATGCAGAAGAAGAAAACATTAGTGAATAATGCAAATTAATGAAATTGCAAATAAATAGTGGAGATACCTTGCCAGTATATCCAGCTTTAGCAATAGCAGTCTTCAATAATTCAAGCCCCTCCTTGTTCTCCTGTAATTCCATCAAAAATAGAGAATTTAATTATAATAACAAAAATGAACAAAGTTCTGTAAAAACACAAGTCAAAATGTGAATAGCCATAGAACTCATGAAGATGGGGTTCAGAAAGTCTTCACATAGGAAGACTTTACTACAAGAATCAGTGACCACTCTGAAATGAAAGAAAACCAAATTATAACAGAAGGCAAGTCAACAAGCTCCCAGCCATGGTGGAAGGCAATATAAGAATGCCAGAAAGGAGGGGCTTGTCATTCTAAACTAGCCGGCATGCACACATGAAAATCACGCCCAAAGTAAAATGCCAGCAAAGTGCCGGATAAGAAAGATCAACAATATCCAGACAGCGGTGGCCTAACAGGGTATGGGAACATAACAATTAACAAGGGTATTGATAGCAAAAGGTCAATAACAATTAACAACGGTATTGATAGCAAAAGGTCAATATCAGATATCAGATGTTATTAATGCATGGATAATAAAAGAACTATTATGAGATGGAAAAACGGTGTAATGGATACTCTTAACTCCAAAATTGACCTTAGAAGCTATAGAACCACAGAATTACCCATTTCTTTAAATAAATAAAAAAATATCAGAAAAGAAACTTTACATCTACATGACCTGAGAAAAATCATTCTAGTTAAAACGAAGTTTAAATTTAAACATGGTACTAACGAAAAATGTAAGAAGCAAGGTAGCATTAACTGGGACCATATGCTGATTGGCTGAAAGGTCAATATCAGACGTTATTAATGCATGGATAACAAAAGAACTATTTTAGATGAAAAAAGTATGTAGTGGATACTCAATTCCAAAATTGATTGTAGAGCTATAGAACCACAGAATTAACAAAAGTATCAGAAAAAAAAAACTTTACATCTAAATGGCTTCAGAAAAGGATCTCTAGCAATTAAAATAAAGTTTAAATTTAAACATGGTACTAACAGAAAAAGTAAGATGCAGGATAGCATTTAACTGGAACCATATGCTGATTGACTGAAAGTAGTCATCTACCTACTTTCCCTGTACCAATTCTAGTCTTGCCCATATAACTGAAAAGAAAATTAGAAGTGGGTAATAGCTCCTCAACTCTTAAAAAGCTATGAAAGAATTATTTTCCAGGAAATTTACAGCAGCACACAGCACAAAAAAGTCACTTTTCACTAAAAGATTTCTTTTGTTTTTTTTGTTTTCTTTTTTTTTTAATGAAGTGGAGGAATTATTATTTCTCTTAATTTTAAAATATGGAAAACAACTAAAAAGGTATTTTAGTTCTTTGGTCTTCTTACTTTTAATACTTCTTTTCTTCCAAAGAGGCCCTAAGTGCAAATAGAGGAAACCATAGCATATTTAAGTGCAATTAAAAGCCTTCTTTTTCTTTTCCTTCAAGAATTTCAAAAGATACCTTAATTTATCTTTCGATTCCATCATGAACATTAGGAAACATAACCAGAAGTTTTCCACAAACTCTGCTACAATTACACGAAGAAGACAAAAGGAGAAGTAGAAAATTCAGCTCCTAGTAAAACTTCCATTAGATAAAAACCTTACCATCATAACACAAGCAAGCAGTTGCAATCTACAGCGTAAAACCCTCAAAAAGGTTTGCTACAGCAAAACAAAAACCATTATTTATTCTCATCTTCGCCCACAACAGCGAAGAGGCTCACAGTTTCGAGACAAAGAAAAACGAAGCAAACAGCCAGGGAACCAAAATTATGCAACTTATGGCACAGGGGTGCATCTGTGCTCTATATCAAGGTCTAGTATGGCTCAACGGGAGCTCTGAACTTGGCTCCAGCATACACTGCAGAAGCACCAAGCTCTTCCTCGATCCTCAGCAGCTGAATTGATGCAAGTAGATATATTTCATAAGTGACCAACTTAGAAACTAAAAACAGCGAGATTAAGCTTGAGTTAAACAAAACTTGCCTGATTGTACTTGGCGAGTCGTTCAGATCTGCATGGAGCTCCAGTCTTGATCTGGCCCTGTTTCACCAAAATAGACGATAGTAAGAAACAGCAAGCAAAAGTTGATGTTTGCTAAGCCTCCAAAAGAACCCCAAAAAGTTTGGTGTAGTTGGTGTCAACTACACCAAATTCCCCCTATGATTCAAAGGGAAACAACATTTATTCCAATTTCTATTAAGAAAGAATTGAATGTGAAAACTGTGACCAGGATGTATATGATTAATATATCATATACATTATACATGTATATGATATATGCATGTAATGGTGAGTGTATCAAAAAAGAAAACTGATAATTATCTGAAACAAGGTCAATTTGTAAACCTGTAGTTCCTACAAATGAAATTAAAGCTCCGTAATTACCCAAAGACTTTAATTTGCCAAGGAAGGAGCAAAATGACCAAAAACAATGGTAAAACACATCTAGTGTGACTTACTGTTGACAAACCAACAGAGAGATCAGCAATGAAGGTGTCTTCAGTTTCACCACTGCAATAAGGATAAACCCAGCTCAGTATTATCTGCTGAAAGTTCATATGCCAAAATCGATGTCAAAGAATAGAAGGGGTAACCATGACTCTCACCTTCTGTGGCTTGCCATCACACCCCAGCCAGCACGCTTAGACATCCGTACAGCTTCGATACTTTCAGTGACGGACCCAATTTGGTTCACCTGTCACCACCAGAATCAAAAATCAAATAAGTACAATGAAAACGGCACAACTTCTAAGATCTTACAACTAACTTGACATAATAAAATAGAAGGCAAAACGACATGCATCCATAAATTACCTTCAAAAGAAGGGCATTGCAGCTCTTCTCATTTATTGCCTTGGCAACCCTCTGCAACAGTGAGGCGGACATTTAGATAATTTTTTTGAAACAAGCTCACTTGACCAGAATTGCTCAATTGTTAGTTAACACTTACAGTGGGGTTGGTGACGAGAAGATCATCTCCAACAATCTGAACTTTTTCACCGATTTCAGCAGTCAGCTTAGCATAGGTGATCCAGTCATCCTGGTCAAAGGGGTCTTCAATAGACACAATGGGATAGTCAGAAACAAAAGACTTGTAAACGTTCCCCAAGCTGTCTCCAGAAATTTTCTGAGAACCATCATTGTTCTGCAGTGGATAAAGGTAAAGGTTAAATGAAAAAACAAGTGCCAAAACAAATAGAACTACAGAAAAACAAGACTGAACATTGAGACGAGGATTTTTCATAATGTTATTCTAAGACAAAATTATCACCGAAATGGAAAGGTAAGATTTACCTCTTCCTTGAAGTTAAGATCATATGTCTTATCCTTCTCATTGTAGAATTCCGAGGCAGCAACATCCATGCCAATGACAACCTGTTATTAACAGCCAATCACAATATATACATGCATCATTATTGAATTATCGAATTGGATGCAGAAGAAGAAAACATTAGTGAATAATGCAAATTAATGAAATTGCAAATAAATAGTGGAGATACCTTGCCAGTATATCCAGCTTTAGCAATAGCAGTCTTCAATAATTCAAGCCCCTCCTTGTTCTCCTGTAATTCCATCAAAAATAGAGAATTTAATTATAATAACAAAAATGAACAAAGTTCTGTAAAAACACAAGTCAAAATGTGAATAGCCATAGAACTCATGAAGATGGGGTTCAGAAAGTCTTCACATAGGAAGACTTTACTACAAGAATCAGTGACCACTCTGAAATGAAAGAAAACCAAATTATAACAGAAGGCAAGTCAACAAATGTGAATAGCCATAGAACTCATGAAGATGGGGTTCAGAAAGTCTTCACATAGGAAGACTTTACTACAAGAATCAGTGACCACTCTGAAATGAAAGAAAACCAAATTATAACAGAAGGCAAGTCAACAAGCTCCCAGCCATGGTGGAAGGCAATATAAGAATGCCAGAAAGGAGGGGCTTGTCATTCTAAACTAGCCGGCATGCACACATGAAAATCACGCCCAAAGTAAAATGCCAGCAAAGTGCCGGATAAGAAAGATCAACAATATCCAGACAGCGGTGGCCTAACAGGGTATGGGAACATAACAATTAACAAGGGTATTGATAGCAAAAGGTCAATAACAATTAACAACGGTATTGATAGCAAAAGGTCAATATCAGATATCAGATGTTATTAATGCATGGATAATAAAAGAACTATTATGAGATGGAAAAACGGTGTAATGGATACTCTTAACTCCAAAATTGACCTTAGAAGCTATAGAACCACAGAATTACCCATTTCTTTAAATAAATAAAAAAATATCAGAAAAGAAACTTTACATCTACATGACCTGAGAAAAATCATTCTAGTTAAAACGAAGTTTAAATTTAAACATGGTACTAACGAAAAATGTAAGAAGCAAGGTAGCATTAACTGGGACCATATGCTGATTGGCTGAAAGGTCAATATCAGACGTTATTAATGCATGGATAACAAAAGAACTATTTTAGATGAAAAAAGTATGTAGTGGATACTCAATTCCAAAATTGATTGTAGAGCTATAGAACCACAGAATTAACAAAAGTATCAGAAAAAAAAAACTTTACATCTAAATGGCTTCAGAAAAGGATCTCTAGCAATTAAAATAAAGTTTAAATTTAAACATGGTACTAACAGAAAAAGTAAGATGCAGGATAGCATTTAACTGGAACCATATGCTGATTGACTGAAAGTAGTCATCTACCTACTTTCCCTGTACCAATTCTAGTCTTGCCCATATAACTGAAAAGAAAATTAGAAGTGGGTAATAGCTCCTCAACTCTCACACTAAATTTGCTAGGTAAACAAAAACATGAAAAGATTATCCAATACTTCCAGGACTTCTCAGCAGCACAAGCAGCTTAAACTTCAGAAAGAAGCTCCATATCTAAAAGTAATAGTTATACAACAATGGCATTTAACAGATTGATAACAAATGCCAGACACTAAATTATGACATAGAATGTCACACTAAATTTGCTAGGTAAACAAAAACATGAAAAGATTATCCAATACTTCCAGGACTTCTCAGCAGCACAAGCAGCTTAAACTTCAGAAAGAAGCTCCATATCTAAAAGTAATAGTTATACAACAATGGCATTTAACAGATTGATAACAAATGCCAGACACTAAATTATAAAAGATAAACTGTACAAGGCATGTAATAATAGGTTAGAACAGCTGTCCACCTGAATGTTAGGAGCAAAACCACCTTCATCCCCAACATTGGTAGCATCTTGTCCATACTTCTTCTTAATCACGGACTGGAAAACAGGAGAGAAGTTGCATATTGTTCAATAGCATATCAGTTGAAGCATCATTTTAAATTAGTTAAAGCAATTACCTTCAAGTTGTGGTATACTTCAACACCCATCTTCATGGCTTCCTTGAACGAAGAGGCCCCAACTGGGAGGATCATGAACTCCTGTGACATTTAAAATAGTAATAATCCTAACAGAAATTAGTACAACTGAGCATAAAATAGAAATGGAAATGTAATACAAAATGATGCAACATGTAGGACATGCAGCAACAATTTTACTATTGACTCGAAATACAGACAAGTACTATGTTTTGCCCCACTGATAATTAATGGCATGCAAGCTAAAGCTGTTATTCATCCAAAACACAGTACTAATACTAATATAATAACAATAACAGCGGTTAATTCCATGCAAAAACATTACCTGCATAGCAAGCTTGTTTCCAGCATGTGAGCCACCATTGATAACATTGAATGCTGGAACAGGCAAAACCAAGTTCTTGTTCCCAGCAAGATTGGCGATGTGCTGCATGAAATGATATGGAGAAAGATCAAACTACATACTTATCATAAGCTTCTTCAGCAACAGAAAAATCAATACACACCTGGTAAAGCGGAATGTTCTTTACACTGGCTCCAGCCTTGCATACAGCAAGTGAGACAGCGAGAATAGCATTTGCACCAAGCTGAAACAGACAAAAAAATCAATCAAACTCCAGCATATATTAAGAGATGCAAAATAGAAGAAGAACAAGTCAATTAAAACTGACAATGAAAATCTACATCTAGCCAGAAGGATACCTTCTGTTTGCACCAACCCCACTCATTTTTGGTTCCATCAAGCTCCTGGACCATAAAGTTGTCGATCTGGGTCTGCTGTGTAGGGTCCTATATAAAAATAATAAAAGTAAGGTTTCACTTACCATAGAACTGATACTGGTTATGTTATAATTAGATAGGATATTAATCACACATACCTTGCCAACCAATGCAGGTCCAATGATAGAATTGACGTTGTCAACAGCCTATTAGCAAAGTACTCAGATAAGCAATTAGCAAAGTACTTAAAAACATTATCATTTAGAATAATTTGAATTGATGAATATCTCAGAGATGCATAAACAAGTATAGAAGAAAGTCTATATAGAATATTAGTCATGACTCATGATAACATGCCTATTTTCTGTAAGTAGAGTAAGCTTACAATAGGAAAACAACAATTATATAGTCGTCGTATTTTAACATTATTTACAAGGAGATTGCATAGCTTACGTCTCAAGATAAAACAACAGGAAAGTGCTTACAGGATTTAATTTGAATCTTCCACTCCAATTTCAAGGGGATTGCATAACTTAAAACTCAGGATAAACAACAAAGAACAAAGATATGCTCCTAGTAGTCAGTATTGAGTCTGCAATTCTACTTACAAGGCAATTGAAATTTGAATGACTTATATTTCACAAAATAAACAATAGAGATGCTAATAGTATTTAATATTGGATCTTTGATTCCATCTCAAGGGATTTGAATTAACTTTAATCTTAAGGTAAAACAGCAAAAAAAAATACTTCCAGTAGTTAATATTGAATCTTGCGCTCCATTTACGAGGGTTTCGAATAACTTAATTCTCAAAAGTAAACAATATGCTCCAAGTGTGTAACATCAAAACTTAACCTCCATTTACAAGTGATTTGATTACTTAAATCTCAAGGTAAAACTTGTCCCTGAATAGGCATCAATCAAACAAAAACAAATTGATCAAATAGAAGTATCCAACTAAAATTATGGATCTAAGTGCAAGCATTTACCAAAACAATATATACATATAATATTAAAAAAACACTCAAAAGTTTTAATCGTTGATAAGGCTTGAAACCAAAGAGAGAGAAAAAAATCCTAACCTTGCCAACACCTTTCCCGAGGTAGTCCGATCCTCCGTCCCTCAATTCCAAGGCCTCGTACACACCTGCGCGATCAAAATCAGTCAAAATCAAACATCTAATTCTTCAAAAAAAACAGTAAAATTAAATTAAATTAAAAAAAAGTTGAGATCTGATCAACACCAGTAGATGCACCACTAGGGACTGCAGCCCTAGCTACAGTTCCATTGCTCAAGTGACAATCAGCCTACAGAAAAGCACAAAACACAATCAGATCTCGATCAAATCGACATTAAGGGGTTAGATCTGGGATCTGAGAAGCTAGGGTTAAGATGAGAAGAGATCAGACCTCGACGGTGGGATTCCCACGGCTGTCGAAGATTTGTCTGGCCTTGATGCACTTGATCGTCACGGTCGCCATCAAAAGATCTCTATTCGCTGAAATGAGAAGAGGGCTTTTTGAGAGAGAGTAATAATGGAGAAGATCAGGGCGTCTCAAGGGGGTAAATTTATAGAAGCTCTCGAAGTGGGATGGAGCAATCACAGCCGTTGGATTTTATATCAGTTGGCCATCGTGGAATGCTGACGACGGAGAGTTTAATGCCTTCTGATGCGTTAAGGCAGCCGAATGTTTTACTCACCCACTTCTGTTGCATGGGTTCCATCGTGTGGGTGGAGGAGTGGGTGCGCGAATTTTGCCTTCTTGGCCGCCACGAAATTTGCTTGCAGGGGGTGGCGCCCATGCACGCACAAGACACGTGAGTCCTGGGATCCGTAAATGGAATATTCGATGAAGAAATAGATAGAGAGCAAAACTTTTCTGTTTTCTGAAATGGGGTTTTCCGATATTAGTCAATCTTATAGTCGGAACTGGCTCCTTACTTCATTGAAATTGTTATCAGTTCCTTCAACTCTTACAAGTTTAGTTTCTAACATTATTGCCTCCAATGACAAATCATTAAAATTGTTGTAAGTGTCCCAATTTTTATAAGTTTTTGCAAATTAATCTTTCCAGTAGATGATATGAGGAGTACCAAAGTAAAGAACTGGGGAGATTTTAATGATTTGATGTACTAGTTTCAAATATTAATGATTCAAGGGACTAATATGGAAACAACTTTTAAAATTCCATAATTTGGGTCCCATAACTAGATCTGAGCACAATAGCCTTGCCTTACCTTACCTTTGATGTTCGTGTCAGTTGCTTTGATGTCCGCCAACATTTTTTGAGTGCTAAAATTTGGTTCGGACTTTCAACGACTGTGACTAGTGTGATTTGCATTTTTCCAAATCAGAAGGCGTGCGAGATTGAAACTGTGGGTGGTGCAAACTGTTTAGAACTTTCGGGGAGCATGAGAAAGTTTTGTTTAGGTGACGCTTAATCATCCTTATTATAGAAGTAATTTGGCTAATTATACACCTTATAAATTGTACTTATCTACTTCCACTTATTTTGTAACACTTATATATCCTAAAGCTTCTAGAAGTTATACTTTAGTATCTTTTGCTATGCATACATGATAATTTCGTTTCGAACTTTTTCATGTGACATTGACAAGTTAATTTTAGAACTTTTTAATCCTTAATTTTTATTGAATTTACTATTTATCATTCTGTAGTTTTATTTTAAACTCATTTCAATTATATTTTAAAATATAATTATGATGGATTTCACAGTAAATTCAACAAATATTAAAGGCTAAAATATTAGAAATTTAGTTTATGACTATCATGTGGGTATATTCAGAGCAAATTTCTCATATTTGCATAATAGGTATTACAGCAACTTTTAAAAACTTTATAATATTTAATTGCTATCATACACAAGTGGGTTTATAAAGTGCAAACTGGGGAAAACTATTAGATATTCAAGTGCTATTAGCGAGGTAATTTTGTTGTTAGCAGGTTGTTTGGTAACTCCTAGACCAAAATAGTCGCAACCAGCTTAGGTGTGGAGATAGCGTTAGTTGAGTCTTTGTTTTACCCTAACTTTTACCTTCAATTACTGTACTTTGTATTGCATACGGAAAAGTTAAAATATAAATAATATGTAATCTCTCATAGTCAATAAACCCCTTCATATAATATTTTTATTTCAAAACCTAATGGGTTAATAAGATCTAGATCTTAAATGGGTGGGTGTTGATGGTTTATATGATCACACAGTTGGTTATGTCCGTGTTTGGACGGATTTATTGAATATTGATGAAGGAGCCGCTTTCTTCTCTGACTTTATGTCTAGTTCTTGAATTGGGGTATCTAAAAAATCTGCACAAGTAGAAATTCGTAAGAGGGTGGGGTTTGGTTCCCTGTTGTACCTCCAACGATCAAGTTATCTGATGACTTGAGTGGGGTAAAGAGAGAACTGTGTGTTCTTGTAATTGTGTAGTGTATGTGTTAGAAGATCAGATTGGTGAACCCCTTGAATGTTAGAATAGTACATGTATTTATACTCAGTGCATAAGGGATAGAGTAGTCACATCGGCCGAGCACAGAAGGGTGGTGGCGAAGTGTGTGCTGGCAGCTAGGTCAACCTATGCTTTATAGGTGTCGGCTGGCGACTGGAGGAAGGATCTCCTCAGCATTAAATGAGAAGTTAGAGGGAGTATGATGGTGGCCCACATTGTCCGATGAGTCATAAAGACTGTTGGGGGTAGAGGCATGATGATGATTGTTAAGCATTAGATGCGACGTAGACACATTGTCAGCGAGGATAAACTCGAAGCAGATGTTATCCTCTATCTTCACCGAGAAGTAACGCCTTTCGAGTCGTCCTTGTGAGGCCTTAGTCACATGGTCGAGTGGAATCCTTGTGAGTCATCTTTGATAAGCGGGTCAACTAGTACCGTTTTTTGAGTCGACGCGAAGGAATATCGACTCGACTGGTCGGCTAAGTCGGATTCTGCTGGGCTTGGGCCACCAAGTTGATTGGGGCATTGATTGCGAAAATACATTTGTCCGTCACTTATCAATAAATTGTATTTCGACGAGTGAGAATACCATAACAGTTAGCCCCTTTCGCTTGGAGGCGGCTTTAGCCGGGTCCGAGTGAAAATACAATAAAAAATTGCTTTTGGACGGATGTGGATGCTTTGAATGAGAACTGAAAAGTCTCTTCTAAAGCGACATGACTGACGTCATCTGACACCCTTTTGCTACTACAACCCCATTTTTTATGGCAGATTATGGGTTATTCGAGGTGAGGACTGCACCTCGATCTCTGAGGGTGCTTCGGAATCTGAAAATAAATCTTGGTCGTTGGATACAGCTGGATCCGGCGGTTCAAATTCTGGCAGTTTGAAAATCAACTGCTTATTTATAGAAACGGGGTCGCACAAGATGCGGCTATTGTCTTTTCGAATTCCCTTGAGAGAACTCAAGATCTCCTCCATTCATCTTTTTCAGCAATTAGCTCTTCAATCTCCAATGGCTTCCGAACCCGTTGATCGTCGAGTTCTTCTGGAGAAGATTCACTCTAAAGTGACTTTACCACAGATGGATACAATGTCTAAAAGGTTCAACATCCCTGAGGCATACGATTTGTATGCTCCGACGAGGTTAGAGGCTATATTTGATCATGGGCCTGAGTGGAATCCGCTCTATATGAGGCATCTAGAATGTGGTCTGAGATTGTGTGATATTAATATGTAGAAATCTACAACACAAGATGTAGTATGTCGAGCGAAATAATCCAAACAAGGAAACCCTCATGTATATACCATATGTTTTAAATTGTAAATAACTAAATATTAATCCCGAACTAAGAATGAAAGGAAACATAACTAGAAAGATAAAGCATCGAAACAACCATCAGTATATGTATATCGTGTACTCACACAACAAGGTATCTCAGCCATCAAATATCTCAACAATGAGTCGAAATCACTTTTAGCATCCACCAAACTCAGGCTATCACATAATTGTCATATTACAACTCTTCACAAAATTTCTAATTCATCGCATTATCATGCGCAACGGACTACCCTGTAGGTATCCTAACAATGTACACGGCTAATTAGTCTTATCGCGCTCTCAGCGCGTAACATGAGTGCGGGACGGCCTACCATATAGGTATCCTAAGAGACGGCTCATAAGCCTCATCGCACCCCCGTGCGGACGGACTGCTAGACAAAGCATCCAAACTGACTCAATAGCATGTACATATAGAATATCGTCGCACCACCACACGTAGTACTGAATTGAGCTCATTAACGATATCCATTGCGTGTATAAACTATGTATGTCTGGTATATCAACGCACTATCTCATATAGTACTGAGCTGTGCTTATCAACGATATCCAACATGTGTATAAACGATCTCTAACTCAAGTGTAATCAGCTTAACACTTGTCAAAATCCCCTTTGGGATACTCATGTGTGTACTATGACACTATTCATGTATATTCATATCTATATGTGTACTATCGTGCAACTCGAACCCCGCGATCACATCTCAAAACAGTGCAACACAATGTTCAGGAAAAGTCTTAGTAGTCGACTACTAAGCTTAGTAGTCGGCTACACTAAGTCCATCCAGACTCTGTGAGGCATGTATCAGGATTAGTAGTTGACTACTAAGCACATTAGTCGACTACTCTATAATATTCTAGTTTCTGAAAATCCAAATTGAACCTGTCAAGTCGACTTATAGTAAGTCGACTTATGCTTTCTTCCAAGTCGACTTATATGCTGATTTTTTTGACTATAACGACTAGTTACAAGTCGACTTATCACTATAGCAAGTCGACTTATAACTGCATAACGACTAGTTTTTTTAGTGAGAGTTAGTAATTCCCAGCTCTATTATTATCACTGTAGCAAGTCGACTTATGCCCAGCTCTATTATTATCCAAGAAGAGATTAAAAAAGAGTTTACAAGTTTTTTTAGTGTGTTTTGAAGAAAATCAAGTTTTTGGTTTGTGAAGAAGTTTTCACAAGTGGAGGAGATCATCTTTATTGTTTGAGCTTTAATCTCCATCTCTCCATCTTGTTTTTAAGAAAAGAATTTCTAAACTCAATATTACCTTTGCATTAATTATTTTTTGTTTATCATCTTCACTAAGCTAGTATTTACATTGAGTTTATATTTAATTATAATCTTTATTCACACACAACCTATTGAGCTTATTATATTTGCATACTTAGTATATATTGGGGTTGTGAGATTGTGGCATTGAGAGTGGGCTTAATTAAGTTCTCAGCTTGTTTAGAGAATAATCATTTATTATTGAGCGTTAATATGTGAGGTCACATTGTATTGCACAAGTACACTAAGAGGAGTGTAGAGGTGAGAGACATGGTCGGTCCTAAGAGGAGTGACGTCAGTAGTAAAGCCTAGTGAGAGTTAGTAATTTCGAGCACTTGAGGGAGACACGTGAGAGGCCAATACTTGAGGTGGTAGTTGTGTAGTTACATTGTGAGTGATTGTGAACGTTGATCGGTGAGCGTTAAAAACCGATATTATGTGGTATAAACATTTTCGGATGAGCGTCAAAAACCC